GTGATGAGCGTTTACTGTACAGTCAATGTGATGAGCGTTTACTGTACGGTCAACGTGATGAGCATTCACTGTACAGTCAATGTGATGAGCGTTTACTGTACGGTCAACGTGATGAGCATTTACTGTACAGTCAATGTGATGAGCGTTTACTGTACGGTCAATGTGATGAGCGTTTACTGTACAGTCAATGTGATGAGCGTTTACTGTACAGTCAATGTGATGAGCATTTACTGTACGGTCAATGTGATGAGCATTCACTGTACAGTTAACATGATGAGCATTTACTGTACAGTCAACGTGATGAGCATTTACTGTACAGTCAACGTGATGAGCATTTACTGTACAGTCAACGTGATGAGCATTCACTGTACAGTCAATGTGATGAGCATTTACTGTACGGTCAACGTGATGAGCATTTACTGTACAGTCAATGTGATGAGCGTTTACTGTACGGTCAATGTGATGAGCGTTTACTGTACAGTCAATGTGATGAGCGTTTACTGTACAGTCAACGTGATGAGCATTTACTGTACAGTCAACGTGATGAGCATTTACTGTACAGTCAATGTGATGAGCATTTACTGTACAGTCAACGTGATGAGCATTCACTGTACAGTCAATGTGATGAGCATTTACTGTACGGTCAACGTGATGAGCATTTACTGTACAGTCAATGTGATGAGCGTTTACTGTACGGTCAATGTGATGAGCGTTTACTGTACAGTCAACGTGATGAGCATTCACTGTACAGTCAACGTGATGAGCATTCACTGTACAGTCAACGTGATGAGCGTTTACTGTACGGTCAATGTGATGAGCATTTACTGTACAGTCAATGTGATGAGCGTTTACTGTACGGTCAACGTGATGAGCATTTACTGTACAGTCAATGTGATGAGCGTTTACTGTACGGTCAATGTGATGAGCGTTTACTGTACGGTCAATGTGATGAGCGTTTACTGTACGGTCAACGTGATGAGCGTTTACTGTACGGTTAACATGATGAGCATTTACTGTACGGTCAACGTAATGAGCATTTACTGTACAGTCAACGTGATGAGCATTTACTGTACAGTCAATGTGATGAGCGTTTACTGTACGGTCAATGTGATGAGCGTTTACTGTACAGTCAACGTGACATGTGTTTATTGTACGGTTAACGTGATGAGCACACATACACAACTCACATTTGGTTCAGTATAGTCATCTTCTAATTCTTCAATTAACTTATCCAGGAAGTCAAAACAAGACATAGCTTCTTTTTCTTTTTCTTCGTATCTAGTGAACACGTCTTGAAGGTTGATATCCAGAATTGACGGTCGGTTACTCACCGAATATCTCAAAACTTGTCTTTTATTACCTGCAATCAACACAGGATTCAAGGTTATTGACAAATAAGGAAGCGATCTAACTGCAGTGTAGGAAATATTTGTATGCACACTGCACTGTGCATATTGTTTTTTTCAGCCTGTTCTTGTGCACCTAAAACTTAATGAGCACGCCATGATGAAATTTCAACCAATATAATTGCTAAATATGAATAGATTCCATGATTAAACAAGCTGTCTCTAGGCTAAGATAGCTCTGCTGTTAACAATGCACATTTCAATTAGAGAATTGAAGATATCATCATGAAATAAACAAATCTGAAATCGGCCCACCTATATGTATAATATCAAAGCAATGGTCAAAATATTACCAAAAATATTTATCAAAATTAGTGAATATCATTACCAAATGAAGAAACCTAAGAAAGGTCAACTCAAGGTAGACTAACCAGTGATATATTACAGAAGGATTACGAAATATTTACTGAGTTAATTTTAGCAAATTTGAACTTGCAGGGATATTTTACGAGGCTTTACTGGTTTGTGAAAAAAAACATTCAACAATTAAAATTAAAGCCATTATACCTTGCAATCATATTAAAATATCATGACAGAGAAGCTACTTTGTACCAAGTTTGAAAGAAATTGGTTGATATATGTCAGAAAATTGGCTCAAAGGTCCTGGACTCCATCTAAGCTTGGATTAGAAACTATAACGATGGTTAAGAGCAGTTTCTGCACCACTCTTCTTGAAGGTTACAGAAACAGATATGAGCAAACAGATCTAAAGTGATGAATACCTTTGTCTCCTAGCAACCGGAGGAAAGCATCTTCCGCAGGATGGCTGTCATCGGTGTCTTCACTGCCACTCAGTGAATCATCACTATCACTTTGAAAGAAGGAATCCAAGAGGTTCGCTCTCTCCTAAAAATAAGAAACAATCGCAGGAAAAGAAAAACAATTTTAGCAGACCGTATATGTACCAAGTTTCATTGAAATATGATTAGAACAAAAAATTATGAATTATCATGCTAATTAGAGAATTAATATGAACTAATTTAAACCCAAAACTGAGCAGGTATGTACATTGTCGTAGAAAATCTATGTACGAAGTTTCATTAAAATGTTATGATAGTACTTAAGATATCAGTAGAAAAGCTGAAAATTAACTAATTATGCAAATTAGGTGATTAATATGCACAAATATATACTCAAAACTAACCAGGTGTCTGCGTAGTCTTAGACTATCTATATACCAAGGTTCACTGAAATGTAATGATTAGTTCTTGAAATATCAAAAGCTAAAATTGATTAATTGTGCAAATTAATATGCACTGATATTGCCCTAAAAACTATCAGGTCAGTGCAATGACCTATGACATCTATGTACCAAGTTTCATTGAAATGTGATGATTACTACTTAAAATATCGAAAGCTGAAAATTAATTAATTATGCAAATTATGTAATTAATATGTACTGATATTACCCTAAAAACTATCAGGTCAGTGCAATGACCTATGACATCTATGTACCAAGTTTCATTGAAATGCGATGATTAGAACTCAAGATAACAGTGGAAAAGTCCAAATTGACTAATCATTATGCAAATTAGGTAATTAATATGCATGGTTTTTTTACCCAAAACTAATCATATCTGTGCATTAGTCCAGAGAACCTATGTACCTTGTTTCATCAAAATCCATTGAGTGGCTCTTTAGATATCAGTGGAACAGTCATGGAACAGCTAATTATCAAGCAAATTAGGTAATTAATATGCACAGATTTCAACTAAAACCAAAACCTAATCAAATCTGCCCAAATTAACCCAGAGTATCTATGCATCAAGTTTCATCAAAAACCAACATAAGGTTCTTGAGATATCAGTGGAACAGACGGACACACACACACACACATACATACATACACACGCACTAAGTCATTTAAAGGTTTGTTGCAGAAATTCAAATCTACATATTACTTTTTAGCCTAAGTCAGAGAAGACGAAAGATTTTTACGAGAAGCAATGGTAGACAATTCATGATTTTATACAAGAAATGACTATACATTTTTATCTGAATTTTGTGAATATCAAGAAAATCTGAAAATAACGCTCAAAAGTAGCCAGCTATATGTACCTCAATTAATATAATGAGATGGTTTATCATTAACAATAAGAATTAATTAATTAATGTGATTTTATTATCCTCTAATGCATATGCTCAGTTGATACACAATTGAACTATGGCTTCAGTTCCCTTTATTCTCAACATTGTAAACCCACTTGATATATTCATATTGGAATAACACAATGCATGTTGGGAAAAATTACAGTTTCAACCATTTCAGCCACGAATTACATGGGATAAATTTGGACACAATTCCTTAATTTTCACTGAATTCAATCTTAATTTTGGACCAGACAAAATTTGACATTGCTTCTAGTTTTTGATAAAAAAAATATAAACATTTTCTGTGGAAAAAAACAGAACTATATAGAACTACATGTATTGTGGAAATTGTGCCTGGAGTTGATTGCTCAGTGGTTTAATACTCACATTGGCATCCAGTTGAGCAGGGTCTTCTCCAGCACTCTCAATATCATCATCATCATACATATCTGCACCTTCAAAGTCCTCCAACAACTCAGCATTTACAATGGGTGCCTGGCAACCGTCTCTGATGTCAATTCTACCCCACACAGCTTTCCCATCATGCAACTGCTCTTGGCTTCCTACTCTTGGTTCCTCATCATCGGGTTCATGCCACGTACCGTTGGTTTGAGTATGTTTTTCAGACAGCTCATCAAATGACAAACTCAATTTTGATTTTGCTACTTCAGTTTTATCAGTTCGTAAATCTACGTCTGAAAAGCTATGAACAGGATGCGCTGACACTCTGACAGAGATGTTCTCTTGATGTGAATCTGATTCACGTCTTTTATGAGAAGTCTTTTGAAGCACGTTAATTTCAGTTTGAAATTGTGGTTGTGTTTCTTCCCTTATTGGTATCGGCACTTTTGAAACAGCATGACTGACTTGTTTCACCGCTGATACATTCTGCCTAGCTACAGCAGCGGGACATCTCTTTTTTTTAGCTTGTGCAAAGTCCTCTGGAGTTTTAAACGAATCACTGTCCTGACCACTCCCATCATCAATAAACGGAACATCGTCTATAGACATGGCAAAATGGTTGGTTGATACAGCTCCTAACTGGACGGGTTTCCCATTCTCTGTTTCATGGTACACACACCTCATGAGAGTGGGTCTTGGCTCATTTTTCCTCAAGCCAGTATTCTGGTCAAAATTAATGATTGTTAGATTTGATGTTTGTTGTTTCTTTCCTATATTTTTTTTATTTCCTGTATGCACAACACCCGGTGTTGATGAGCGTTTGACAGTTTGTTTTATCTCTACTCCTCTATGACTAACATCATACATAATGGCCGGTTTTCCAGTGCAGTCGTCCCTTAGAAACATCTTATAGTCATATGGCCGTAGTGTTCGTGGTCGTGTCTTTGGAATAAATAACGTTGTTGGTCTCGTTAAAATCACTGTGTCATCCAAAGATTGTATTTCACCATTCGGTAAATCAGTTTTGCGTAATTCCTCAATTTTAGCGCTAGTAGCATTGTAATTTTCCTTAACATGTTTAGGATCCGTTTTGCCTGATTTCTCGGTGCCCATATCCTTAATCTCACTCGGATCAAAACTGCTTTCATCCGCAACATTCCATACTTTCCCGTTCTTATCCGGCAGATCAACAACCTTGACAGGAGAGAGTTCAACGACTTTGGCTTGCAACCCAGGATCTGATCCACTTTTACAATCACTGCCATTCCCTGTCGTTTCATCGTGTATGTTATAACACTTCAATTCGGGTGATGATGTTCTGTTAGGAAGTGGGAATGCCGTTCGCCACTGGGCTTCAGAGTTATCCACTTTCAGATTACTGCTGACATCAACAACATGTGTAAGATTTTCTTTTATTTGTTTTTCACCCGAATTAGTTCTTTTCACCTAAAAATAATAAAGTAAGATAAATAATCAAATACTAATTTGTCAGCACTTTTTTCTTTTATTCTTCAATATTTTTGGAGCCAACAAAATTTGAGTCAATTTTAAGTTTTTCTTCAGAAGATTGGGACAAAAATATCCAAATTTGTCTGTTGGCTCCAAAATTAGGCTTTATTTCCCAAAATATTGAAGAATATGAGAATAATTTGGGCAGAAAAGTATGGTGGTGAACAGGTTAAGTTAGAAGGAAGTAAAAAATTATATTTAAATGTTAAGCTACATTATTCATGCTACGACTAGCAACAATACCAACTATCTTTCTTATTAACATTTGCAGTACATAGTCAAACTCTGGTTCTGCTTGATTAATGTAAAATACCTTATTTTTGCTGAAAGACTTTTTAGATGTTTTTTATGGAGCTTATTTTCACTGATTTTGATTAGTGGGATGTAAAATATAGGAGAAATCAGAATCATCCTATTATCAAAAATAGGGAAAATAAATTTCTATCAAAAATTTTGTAATTTACAGTATTTATTTGCAAGTGCAATTCTTGTTCATTTTACAGTTTGATATGAAAGACAAGGTTTAACTTCGAGAAAGTCCACTATAACTTTCAGTTGACACAACTTACACCAAGTAACTGCATAGATACCCACCTTCAGTTTGACTTCTTCTGCTGTTTTTGACGGTTTCCATTCCGTAATTTTCATCGGTGCCACCGGTCGCTTCTTCCATAAATCAGCAAAGTCTGTCATGTCCTCCAAATCGTCATCAGAATCTGATAAGAACTCGCTCTGAAAATGAGTATGAAAAGTAATTGGTGAAAAGTCATGAAACTAATGTTTTGCTTTAAAATTCATGGCTGACAAAAATAAAACTGAAGCCAAAGCAGTGTCCATCTTTTTTTTGTTGGCAAGTACTTTAATATATCTTTCCCATGAAATAGATGCATCCAATCTTAAGTAATAAAAAAGGCTGACTCACCAATGGCGTTGCTGATTTTCTACTAATACTGCTCCGGACGCTCATATTAGCCGACCCGCCCGAATCCACTGAGTTGAGAGAGGTCAATGACTCCACGGACAGACTCTTGCTAGAAGCAAGGGCAAGCGTTGTCCTGGCAGGAATACAGGGATAACCTGTGCTGACTTTTACTTTGTGACTGTGTGATGAAATAAATAGAAGAATTAAATTGGTTTACTTGGATAAGTTGTAATTTAAAAATATGCAAACTGATCACGCCAAAATACAGTGCTATGAATGACATTAAGTTTACGTTTACAAATTAAATAAAAGCCAATGGCTATTGAAGAGTACATTTATTTCCATTATTGTTTCATTTGTGCTTGTGTAGAAGTCTTGTATCTTTGTATCTCAAATTTGCTTTTTTTTCAGGTATGAAACAAGCAATCAAGTATCATACCTAATCAGAATTTGTAAAAAAATTATTAGTTTAGATTTTGTTACACTTCAGGATCTTCTCTCTCATGTCATGAGTGAAAAAAATGTAAGGCTGCTCTCACAGGTGACAAACAAAAACAACTTTGTCTTTTCAAAATCTTAATCATCAAGGTATCAAGCATTGGTCCCAGAACAAAAAGAAAATACTTGCGGCCAATCTGTTTTAAAAAATGCATGCATGCATTTTTAATGTATGCAAGCAATGATCAGACACAAGAATACTGTAGAATACTTTATTTTCGCTTGGAATTTATTTTCGCTATTTTCGCTGAAGGGATGTTTTCGTGAAAATAAAATCCAGCGAATATACTTTTTTTCCTATATTTCACATTAAACTCATCAGAAATCAGTGAAAATAAATTCCATACAAAACGCCTAAAAAGCCTCTTCAGCGAAAATTAAGTCCAGCGAAAATAAAGTATTCCACAGTATTCTTTTTTTAGGCCTATTCTGTAATTCTATATCTGCTATGCAGGTGTCATGCTTAATTCATTACATGTCACATAGTCATTATCCACTGCAAAACTAGATATAAACTTGCCTGGAATCATTCGGTTGAACTTTCACCTCTTTCACATGTTCCACATCAGGGTTTCTACCATTGGCCAATATCAAACATGGCGTTCTCCGTAATGGTGCACTTTTAAGAGACAGCCTTGGGGACAAATTCAGCAAGGTTAAATCCTTAGGTTCAGGATCCAGCAGTGAGTCATCCTTCCAGAACACGTCTTCCGATGTAAATTTAAATTCTGGCGCACGATCCAATGGAGGAAACTGGAACACTGTAGATGATGTGCTATCTGATAAAAGATTAGATTCGGATTTAGGTCGGGTTGGTTTCTTCCCTGTAGCTCCATTGATAAGCTCGAAGGTTTGTCCTGAGTTTGGAAATTTTTCGGGGTTCAACATTTTTTCCTCGCCGTCAGAGTCAAGTTTTCGTTTCAAGCTTTTCCTGGGACTGAGTGGTGGAAACGTATCATCAGTACCCAGTAATGGTAATGTTTTAGTAACATGGCAGACTTTCATCTCCCTAACTTGGCCATTGCAGCTGCTCTCTCC